TCAAAGCTTTTCACGTCACAATTCTCATGACCATTACAAAAGAGAATAGACCAATGAATTCTGTTATACTCAGCCTCTTGCTCCTCTGTGCCTTCACAAAAGTAGCATTATCAAATGTTGAACCAATCCTTGACACAGAAGGTCATGCTGTTGTGGCAGGTGCTGAATACTACTTGCTCGTAACATATCCAGGTCCTGATGAAGGTGAATTTGGACCTGGCAAGATCTCTAACATGACTTGTCCAGTTAGTGTGGTCGAAGAAACTGCAAACAAGGGTGAGTTATTAAGACTATCTTCAACACTTGGAAAAAAGGGGATTATCTATACTAATGATGATTTGGAGATTTCATTTTCAAAAAAATAAAGTGTGCCGAATCATCAAAGTGGATTATTGTTAAGGAGAAAGGTGAAGATTTTTGGTCACTGGGCCTTGGGAGTGCTCGGGACCATCCGGGTGGTGAGATTATGAGTGGTTCTTTCAAGATTCAGAAATATGAGTTACTTGCCGACTATAAGTTTCTGTTTTGCCCAAATGCTAGTGTCTGTGGTAATATTGCAAGGACAGGTTCCAAGTTAGAACGCCTAAATTTGTATTTTGGTCAGGATGCTGCCTTTGATTTTGAACTCACCCCTAAGGCTTCGTTGGTGATTTGATTTTGTTAGATTGATGGTCTCATGCCTCTATGAAGAATAAGATCAATTGTTCTCACCAAGCTTGTAGTCCGTTTTTGTTGATGAGTTGCCCGCTCAATTATAAATAATAATTACTACAAATTGAATTATATTTGTTAGTCATTGATCAATCACAATAATTTTTTAGCTTTATAATTATCCTAACATGAAAAGTTTGACTTATTACTGCCGCTTCTTTTTCATTTTATATGACATTTTTTAAGTAAAATTATATTACAAATGCCAATAAAATCATTTAAGTGCGGTTAAAAAAATTAAATAATAAATAATTGCTCCTTGAGAGAGATAACATATATTTATATAAGAGTGAAATAATTAAAAGTAATAAATTTCATTAATGAATCATTACTTTTTTTAAAATATTTTATATTATGAAACATTAAATCACTCTAAAAAATATTAAATAAAATGGGGCGGGAGTAGTCCTTTACGATTTTATTTGTCTTGGTCACGAACTAATTATTACAGACTCGATACATTAACCCACGTCTGCGTCCCATGAGTCCACATGGTGGTGTGATAATTTTAAGGAAAAGCACAGTTATTAGTCCTTGTAATTTTATTATATAACTAATACAAAAATAATTTTTTACAGCAGTTAAAAATAATTTTTCTACAGTGGTTAAAGAGGCAATGGTTTTTTAGGGAATGTAGAATGTCCCATCTTTCTACATCAGTTATCTACCCGATGTAAAAACTAAATATTTTTATATTGGTTAAAATTTTGATGTTGAAAACTATATACAAAAAATTAAAAAAATTACCTGGCACTTTTTACATTGGTTGGCAACCCACCCGATATAAAATAATTACTTTTTACATCGGTTGGTCTACTAACCAATGTAAAAACTATTTAATTTTTTATACCATATTTATTTTATCAATTTTACCCATTTCTATGCATAGAAATTGCTAAAGCCAAATTAGACAGCCCAATTCATTTACAATTGTCTATCAAGTATTTATCAACTATGCAAAACTATTTAACTATTAAAAAACTAACAACTGTCTAAATTGTATCAACTATCAAAATTAAAACTTATCTAAAACTAACAAACTTAATAAATTGTATGAAACATTTTATAAACCTCATAAATTCTCCCTAAAATAGGTTGCCCAATGTATGTAGATGTCTTCAATTTTAGCTTCAAGAAATGCATTTGAATTGTCAAACATCTAAAATATGATTTACAAAATAGCCTTATTAATCAATCTCAAATCACATAATAAAATAAAACTTTTAAAAATATATTTAGCTCTTTTGTAAATTTGGTCATGCCCAATATAATGATGTTGAGCATGTGTCTCATGACATATTATTTAATATGCATGAGAGAATAAATTTCATTTTATTTAAAATAGATTCTTTCATATAAAACAATGAAAGGGTTGTTGAATATTGGTCAGTCAACAGCGTTGTTGAAATTAGTGGATATCAGTTGTTGACGGTGATACCACTTCATTGTAAAAAGTGGAAGACTTTAAACACTTGAATAACTTTCAAAAAGCAAAGTTCTGCAAGGTGCAAAGCACACGTATAGACCATGCTTTTAGGATCCAATGAATACTTTATATAGCAAAGATTATGAGGACAAATTCATTGTTCTTGTGTCGAAATTTTGCGTAAGGCAAAAGAATTTATGATTTTGAGAGTAATAAATTACCAGAAGTGGTGATATACATGTTTGACAGGTTATATCAATTATATTGCGTGCATTAGTTTATTTTTACTCATAGGAAGAATAATCATGGAATTCTTCATCAATAAAAGCCTATTATCAATTTAAAATATAAAAGATGTAACAAATCATATTTATTCATTAATCTCTGTTTTTTTTTTACCGGACATATTTATTCATTAATCTCTAAACAATGTAATTCATTAGATTCTGTTCAAGGTGAATAGTCCCACATCTAGTTAATTATTAAAGCGGTATTTCATTAATAGTGCAATCATTTTTGTTTTTTTAATTTCAAGAGATTGAAGCTAAAGCTCTTGTCTCTCGTTGTAAATCATATATCTCTCATCCAATGGCATTACTTTCAATAATTAAAAAAAATTAATTATTGGGTCAAAGGTAGCTGCTCAAATAGAAGACTACTAATTAATGGAGATAACCTTTTTACTTTTCTTATGTGGAAGTTCTACAGAAGTTTTGCATAAAGTGTTGGGGGTTAGGTGGCAAGGACATGATGGACATGGAAATTAAAGCTACCATGCACACTATAGAACCCAACATTATAAATACTGACAATGTGTCAAGAGCTCCATATATTGATAAAAATCAAGCACCACTCAGAAAATTGTCATGGATTCCTATAACAATATTTGTGTTTTTATTTTGCTCTTGTTGCTACCCTTATTAATAAATCATTTATGCTCATGCAAAGCATCTGATCAAGTTTTTTTTTTTTTTTTTTTTTTTTTTTGCATTTCAAGTAAGTAGCAGGCCCTTCTTAATTTCAAGCATCATCTTCTTGATCCATCAAGTAGGCTCGCCTCGTGGTCCAAGGACATAAATTGTTGCAATTGGACATCAATTGTTTGTGATGATGTAACTGGCCATATTCTTCAACTTCATCTCAGAACTTTGCCACTTTTCTATTATTATTATGCTGATCATATATCAGGGTTTGGTGGTGAAATACATCCTTCAACACTTGGTTTGAAACATTTGAGATACTTGGACTAGAGTGGCAATGACTTTGGCCACATGCAAATTCCAAGTTTCCTTGGCTCAATGAAGAGTTTAATATACCTAAACCTCTCTTATGTGAGATTCGGTGGAAGCAGTCCTCACCAAATGTTGAACCTCTCCAATTTGATCTATCTTGACCTTGGAGGTAATTCTTTCACTGGACCCATTCCTCATCAAATTGGGAATCTTTCTAGCCTACTCTATCTTGATCTTGGTGGAGGTTATCATTATGATGACATGGGTGGGATACCATTGTTTTCAGAAAATCTTCAATGGCTTTCATCTCTTTCTTCCCTCAAATATCTACAATTAAGTTATGTGAATCTATCTAATGCATTTGATTGGTTGCATGTTTTGCAATCTCTTCCCTCATTGATAGAGTTACACTTGACATTGTGTACTCTTATCATCATTTTGATTCAGCCATTATGACTAACTTTTCATCTTTGGCAATTCTTGATCTTTTACATTCTTATGATTTTGGATCTTCTTCCATTCCAAAGTGGATTTTTCAACTTAAAAATTTGGTTTCTCTTGTATTAAGTGGTAATCTTTTGTAAGGGTCTATTCTAGATGGCTTTCGAAACCTCACTCTCATTGAAGATTTTGATTTATCTTCTAATTTGTTTAATTCTTCTATCCCTAATTGGTTATATAACTTGAATCATATGAAGTCTCTTTGTCTCTCTTCAAGTCATTTGCATGGAACAATTTCACATGCAATTGGGAACTTAACTTCTATAGTTACTCTTGATTTGTCATATAATCAACTGGAAAGGCCAATTCCAAGATCTAAGAAATCTTTGTAGCTTAAGAAGTGTCTCTTTCTCAAGCATGAAATGCAATCAACAAATTTCTAAAATATTGGGAATCATTTCAGGATGTGCTTCACACACCCAGGGGAGTTTATCTAGTTTAAAGCTATATGGTCATTTGACAAACCAAATTGGCATTTTCAAAAATCTTATTTATCTTGATCTTTCTGACAATTCTTTTCAAGGTGAAATTCCAAAATCTTTAAAAAATCTCACCTCTTTGAATCGTCTTTATCTCTATGACAATTAATTCAATGGAAATCCTTTTGATGTGATACAATCTGTTGTAACATTAAAAGAACTTGACATTAAAGATAATCTTTTTCAAGGAGAGGTGAATGAATATCACCTTGCTAATTTCACCAAGCTATATGCATTGTTTGCATCAGAAAACAAGCTCATTTTAAAAGTGGGTCCTAAATAGATTCCATCTTTTTAAAAGTTGCAATACTTGTGCATGGACTCATGGCACTTAAGTGCTCAATTTCGATCATGGTTGCAATCACTCAAGTGTCTTGAGGATTTTTCCATACATCCAACAGCAACATCTTTGATTCTATCCCCCTATGGGTTTGCGATGTATTTCCCTGTGCTTCTGGTTTTGATTTATCTAACAATGATATCCATGGAGAGCTTTCTGATACATTGAAGAATCCTGTCAATATCTCATATATTGATCTAAGCTCAAATCACTTAAGTGGTCATTTACCAAATATTTCACCTCTTGTGCATCACTTAGACCTCTAAAGTAATTGGTTTTCTGGACCCAAAGACTCCTTCCTATGTCAAGAGATGGAAGAGCCAATGGAATTAACATATCTCAATTTGGCATCAAATAAATTGTCTGGTGAAATACCAGATTGTTGGATGATGTGGCCAAATCTAGTCATTGTGAAGTTTGACGACAACATTTTTAGTGGAAACTTGCCTACATCCTTAGGATCCTTACCATGGTTGGGTTCTTTACAACTTCACAGAAACTTACTTTCAGGAAATTTTCCTATTTGTTTAAAGAACAATACTAAATTGGTTTTCTTGGATCTTAGGGAAAATCAATTTTCAAGGATTATTCCTTCATGGGTTGCACAAGTTCTCTTCAATTTGAAGGGTTTTCTCCAAGGATCAAACAAATTTGTTGGTGAGATTCCCAATCAAATATGCTTTTTGAAATTTCTACAAATTTTGAACCTTGCACATAACAACTTGACTGGACAAGTACCAAAATGCATCAACCACTTGACTGCTATGCTGGTGAAGAATAATAGTTTAGAATCATACGTTGAGAGAAAAATAAATAGAAGTTACTATTATATACAAGATGTGCTCCTTGAGTTGAAAGGAAGAGATGATGAATATAGTTTTTTAGAACTTGTCACAAGTATGGACCTTTCAAGTAACAAATTGTCTGGAGATATACCAAGAGAGACCACAAGTCTCAAGGGGTTGCTTTTTCTGAACTTGTCCAACAATAATTTGCATGGTCAGATTTCTCAAAGTATTGGCAATATGAAATCATTGGAGGCTATGGATTTCTCAAACAATCAACTTTATGGTGAAATCCCACCAAGCTTGTCCAATTTAAATTTCCTGAGCAAGTTGAACTTGTCTTACAATAATTTTATTGGGAAAATTCCAATGGGCACCCAATTGCAAAGTTTGGAGGCATGTAGTTTTGTTGGCAATGATCTATATGGTCCTCCACTACAAAACAATTGAATTGATCTATCCAACGTTCTTTATGCCAACAATGACAAAGAAGCTCATGAACATAGAATTAATTGGCTTTATGTGAGAATGTCATTGGGGTTTGTTTCAGGATTTTGGGTGGTAGTTGGTCCTTTGCTGCACAATACATCTTGGAGGTACAAGTATTTTCAGTCCCTTGATTTTGTGTAGTATAAGTTGCAACGTTGGTGGTGTTAAGAAGAAAATGAGTGTAGTTGTGTACTTATGTCTGTAATAAAAGGTTTTATAAGCAATTTGCATGTTGTTGCTTCTGTTTATCTGTTGATGGATTTATGTCTATATAAAGTTTCTAATGTATTTTGAGAGGCTTCTGCTGCAAGTCTTATTATCATGGTATAAAATGTTTTCAGGCATTGCTTTTTTCTTAGCCACATTTACTTCTTCGTTATCTTTATAAATTGATTCCTTGAGCAACACTATCTACCCATATATATATATATATATATATAACTGTGGAAGTTTGAACTCGTCTGTGTGTGTCTTCCAATTACGTGAGAAGATGTGAAAAAAAAAACAATCATTCTCTTCCGATTTGGGGACACTAGTTTCCAAAATATAACATGTTAATAATCTGATTAGCTATGTACACCTTAGGAACCTGCAAAAAAAAAAAAAAAAATTGAGTATAAATCCGTAAGCTTCCCAGGAAGTGGCAAGTACCTATTATGACACAATAGAATGAAAAATTATATTTAACTGTCTCTAATTCTTACTGTTAGCTGTTTCAATAAATATATAAAAAGTAGGTTGTTTTTTTTAAATAATAATATGATCGATGAGGGCAAAGTTTTTGTAAATAATTATTATATTAATGTCATGTTATTATCACAAAGTAATGTGCATAACATGAGGTCATTTAAATTCTAAAACGCAAATTAACTTTTTAAATGATCTAATATATAAATATATTGATGTCTTGAAATATATATGAAGCTAAATGAGAACAAAATAATTCTCAAATTTGTTTAATTTTTATCCATATAATCCCTTACATGGATACCATCAATATTGTGCTATCCATATCAGCAAATTTTAATGATATAGTTTCCTTTTTAAATAATAAGAATTAAATCGATAATTGAAATAAATTTAAGGGATTAAATTAATAAAAATTAAATTTGAGGGACTAAATTGATAGTTGAGATAAACTTGAGAGACTAAAAGTTACATTATTTCATAATTAAACAAATTGAAATATTGAATAATAAATTCCGTTAATATAGGTTAAAAATAATAAATTCCGTGGCCATGTTTAAAGATAAATTATGGGCACGAATGATTCGGTGGACGATGGGTTGATGGTGTTGCCATGCTGATACTGTGGAGGAAATAAACAATCCACTATTTTTAAACATTGAAAGGAGAATGTCATATCAAAAGAATTTAAAATACCAAGCATCAAGTGAATAGTTGAGAGTATCAAATTCTTTTAACACTTTAATTTTTTATTTTTAAAATTCCAATTACGTTTTACATTGATTATATATATTATCTTTACATGATTTTGAAACTAAAGTAATTTAATTCTTTCAACAAATTTAATATACCTTTCTGTTCCGGTTATATTTATAATTGGTTATAGCTATGACCAATATAAGCTGTGGATATAAAAAGTTCGTTAATCATGCTATATGATAATAAAATTATCACCTGTCACATTTTTATAATCTTCGTGAATAAATTAGAATAATTTGCTTTTGGAAAATTATTCTAATCTTCATGAATAAATTTTACTTATATATATATACACTCTCTCCGTTTAATATTATAAAGCACTTTTAATCAAATTACACCCTAGTGAGTTAGTTAATTATTTTTTAAAATTACACACTATTTTCATGTTTACTCTTATTTAATAAAATGTCTTAGTTAGAAAACTTTATTAATTAGATCTCATTAATTAAAGGTATTGTTGAAAAATCTCTTTATAAATTTAGTCACATTTATTTTTTGCTTCATCATCTTTATAAATTGATTCTTTGGGCAACACCATATAATTGTTGCGTGAAAAATGGTTGAACAAAAAGCTACTTTACATCCATAGTTCTCTCACACAGAAATAGACATTTACTATGTTTTGGACTTTCCTTGGGCTTGACAAGTTTTGGGTCCAAACAAGGGAATGATAATATTGTTTGGGCTTGTACTTAATTGACAAATGACATTCACAATTTGATCCAAAAGAAGTGACAACAAAAATCAACAAGGGTAGTGAAAATATCATCGTGGCAAAATCAATAGACAAACAAGAAAAGAAGGGGAAAAAAATAAAAAATATACATTTGATCATTTTATTTTTTATAAGATTTTATTATAATTTCTTAATTATATAAAATGTTTATTCAACCCTCTAACATGAACATCATTAATTGCATTAACCAAAAATACTGACATTAAACTTTTACGGAAAAATTAATCTACAAGTCCTTCTAATTTTCATCAATTTTGAATAGGTCCTTGTAGTTTATTTTACTTTAATCAAGTCCTTATAGTTTTAGTTTGATCAATTAAATATGTTAGTAATCCCTTAAAATTAAAATCTTTAATTTTTTCCTTTAAAAATTGAATTAAGAACTTTTTTATTAAAATATTATATAACTTTATAATTAATTACATTATTTTTATAACTCAAGATATATATATATATATATAGGTTATGTTTACTAAATACTCCCTGCGTTAAAAAATATATGATATTTTTAACCAAATTTCATACTCAATAAAGTAATTACTTATTTTTAAATTAACTTTATCTTTTTATATTTACCCTAATTAAACACCCTAAAATAAATAAAATAATTTATTTAATAGGGGTACTTTTATAAAAGAAAAAAGCAATAATTACATCTCAAAAGATTAAAAATGCTTTACATTTTTTAATACCCAACATCTCAACAAATGCTTTACATTTTTTATAGGAGGGAAGTAACTTATATATATATATATATATATAATTTTCATAAAAATTAATAAAATTTTAAATATTGTATTAAATTAAATGTTTTTTTAACTTTTTTAGGCTAAAAGTATTAAATCAATTTTTCTATAATTTTTAAAAGTTTTTTTTTTAAGTTTATCATTCATCAATAATTTTAACTTTTAGGGACCAACATATTTAATCTATCAAACTATAAAGACTTGGTTAAAAAGGAAAAACATTGCAAAGACCTAATTCAAAATCAATGGAAGGTAGAAGAACGTACAAATTAATTTTTCTCAATTTTTAAACAACAATAAACATTATCAAATATTGATGCATTAAGTTTACTTTTTTAAAAGTAAATGAGCAATATACCACCTAAAGTATGGCTTGAATGGCATTGTAGAGCCTAAACTCTTGTATTGTGTAAATTCTTTTCTTGACTTATATACTACTATAGCAGCTTACCGCCTACATTAAGTATAGGCACATTGACAAGTATAGGAACATTGACGGTTAAGAGTGATAAGAGAGAAGACAACTTTACTTAATTTTTTTCAAGTTGGCATGCCACGTGCCCAAGTTAATCTTAGGCAGAAGGGTATATTGATAATTGTCCCTGAAAAATGGCCCTAAACAAGAAGGAACGCAACCATCTGATCAAGAAGCATTAGTCGACTCTCATTTTCAATTTGCTCATCTGATCAAGAAGCATTCTACTTTCCCAAGATCTTAGTTCCCCACAACACCTTTGCATGTAGACTTGGGAGCTGATGATCGCTTCTTCTTCCTCATGTTCTTCGTGGAGATCTGCGCCAAAAACTCACAAGAACAAAACCTGCTAGGATTCAAAAGAATTCAGGGTCCAAGCATTGGGTGATAAAATCTTAGAAAATTTAGGGTTTCTGAAATTTGAAAAGTGGAATTTTGCTGGGGACGAGGAAACAGAAGAGATGGAGGATTCTTTGTTGAAAGTTGAGAGAGATTTCATTCGCACAAAAATTAAGTGAAAGACATATTTGGAGATTCTCCCATAATAATTGGTGATCATTAAGAATGAGTTTGGGGACACTAATTATTCCATGTCACCTTTACCATGCCAATTTCTCATGTCGTGAAATTTGGCGATCCCCCAAACGCATCCTTTCTTCAAATTAAAATAACTCCAAAGCCTGGAGGTTAAACTTTCAATACCTTTGTCTTCTGCCCACTACTTTGCAGAATCGGTTCAATGGCTTCAATGGAGTACTTGCCTTGCTTTCCCTTAATGAGGGGATCAAAAAACAAAGATGGTAAGCCGAATGATTTCATTTTGTGGAATTTCCATTTTCCAAATTTAAAATGAGTGATGCAATGGGAATATATTGGAACGGAGGATGAAGAAATTGAGGAAGCAGAGGGAGAAGCAGAGACTATATGCAGAGCTGAGCGAGGTGATGTGGTAACTCTTCTGACTTCATTCCTTCATTTGGAGCAGGTCCACCACATTCCCAATCGTTACCGGGATTATGAGCTGTAAGTACAAGTGCCTCGTAAGCTTGTAAGTGGACCCCACTATCTAAAATGTAATAGTAGTTTTCTTGTAGTTAACATTAGGGGTGAGGTGCTAGGAATCTAAAAGTTAAGGAAAGAATTTAAACAACATAAAAATTTAGAGTCTATGATGTTATTCAAGCTATAGTTTAGGAGGTATATTGTTCATTTATCCTTTCCAAAATAACAAAAACTTATACAAAAAATCATAATTTGATATTACCAATTTTAAAGTTAAATAAATGATTGAAAGTATATTTTATAAATAAATTAAAGGTCATTTTTGTTCTTGAACTTTACCCTTAAGATCTATGGGTATCCTGAACTCGATTTTGGGTAATTTTTGTCCCTGAAGGTTCAAAATGCACTGCCTTATCATTTTATCATTAACACGCCGTAATGTTCCTTTTTAGTGGAGTGAGTTTCACCATTTTTTTTATTTTTTATAATAAAATATTGGGTTAAGGGTCATTTTTATCTTTAAAATTTTCTTTATAATTTACTGGTACCCTGAACTTTTACTCTATGGTCTGTAGGTACTTTGAACTCAAGGACAAAAGTAACTTTTAACCCAATATTTTTTTTTAAAAAGTATAATGGTGGGACCCGTATAATGGACTGTTAAGCATGTTAACAGTAGGGCGACAAGGCAGCTTCTTTCAAATGTTTACGGATAAATATGATCTAAAATCAAATTCATTAACATTTAGGGACAAAAAATGACCCTCAATCCTTTATAAAATAAAGACTAAAATAAAATTTTATATAAATTTAAAGAAGTAAATGCACACTTTTGCCGAATAAATAAAAACGCTAAAGTTGTAGAATTTTAAAAGGAGAGAAGACTTCACTTTATAATTTTTTTTAAAAAAAAAGGGATGGGAAGTTATGATAGTAATTAATGATTATAGAGAAAGTTTTCATTTTTTTTAAAATGATTGTTGTGGGAAATCTCTTAAGATTGAGGTATAAAAATTCCGTCTATAGAAAAGTATGATATTTTTTCCCAATATTGGCCTTACTTCGTTTTGATAAACTATATTGAATTGCATGATATCTGTAACGTAACTTTACACACACTCACCATGCAATTGGAAGCTGAAAAGGAAAATAATGCCCCTGAATTTAAATTAACAAATTAATTGTCAAGTTACTGCTAATTTAACAAGTTCAAAAATTGTTCTGAACTTTGAAAAGTCACAACTAAATTTAAGAATTCGTATAAGGAGAGAATATTTATTGTAATTGTTAAAGCTATTAATCATTGTCAACACTTCACAATTTATTTTTTATTTAATTCTTGCTTTCTTTATCTTAATTTTTCATATGAACTTTTCTTGGTATAAAAATTATTGTACCATCATTTTCTCACTCAATTTTTAATAAGGAACTCATTTTTAAACTCAAATTTGACAAATTTCAGCTCCTTCTTCTCCTCGAACATATTTAAATTTAAATCTTATTCCATATTCTTAAATTCTTAACTAATAATTTCTTAATTATTTGAAAAATTGGGTGGCATTTCCCGTTGAAAGATGTTATCCAAAAAATTACATAAAACTTGAAATCAAGCTACCACCAACAATAATCAATAATTAATATCTCTACGATCATTTCTAAGGCCTTTCCTACTATTTTATCATCAAAATAACAAACCCTATTATTTCTAAGAAAACAGGGCAGCCTCACAACTTGAGGAAAACTCAAATAAAAATTATGAAACACAGTTCAAAATGATGCTCTTTCAAACCTCTGCTCCATGCACTAACTTGATCTTGATTTTCTCACTACTGTTTCCATCTTTGTCACTTCAAACTCATCTTCTTGAAAATCTAACTCTTTCTTCTTCCTGCTTCTCTCTCCCTCACACACGCGCGCACTCTCTCTTTCTGCAGTTTGGATGACCAAAAACAAGCTCAAGGGGGAGGATGAAGTGTTGAATATAGTGGAATTCAAAACCATACTTAATAATATTTGGATTCCAAAATTTTCCACCCCAAAAATTCTGCATTAATTCTTGAACCAAGTGAATTAATTAAAATTCTCCTCCATTGCCGCCCATCAGCCACTCCCTCCTAATTTTATTGGGCTTAAGTGGCTTCTTATTAAATTTTTAATAATATTGGGCAGGAATTTTGGACATTTTCTTGACCAAAAAGAATTAATTTCCAAAATTAATTCCTTAGGAAAATTCTTGACCAATAAAATTGTTATTACTCTCCCAAATAGTTATTCCTTTCAAATCCTAATTACTTTAAATTTTTTGTGTCCATTTGACTCAAATAATTTTTTGATCAATTTTTATTTGAATGCCTCCCTCGTCCCTCGTGCATGTGAGCTGGCAACTTATTAGTAAAAATGGACTACAAGCCTGGTGAGAATGATTGTTATTATTCTTCATAGAGGCACAAGACCATCGATCTCATTAATAAAATCAAATTCCCATATAAGCCTTAGGGGTGAGTACAAAGTTAAAGGCAGCATCCTCACCAAAATACAAAGAAAGGCATTCTGACTTGTTCCCTATCCTTGCAATATTACCACAAACACTAGCATTTGGGCAGAACATAAACTTATAGTCAGCAAGTGGCTCATATTTCTGAATCTTGAAAGAGCCACTCAAAATTTCACTACCTGGGTGGTCCCTAGCACTCCCAAGTCCCACAGACCAAAAATCTTCACCTCTCTTTTACAATGATCCACTTTAATGATTCAGCACACTTAATCTTCTTTGAAAATGAAATCTCCACAACCTCACCTGTATAGATAATCCCCTTTTTTCCAAGTGTTGAAGATAGTCTCAAGAGCTCACCCTTGCTTGTAGGATCTTCAAAGACACTTACTGGACATGTCATGTTGGAGATTTTGCCAGGTCCAAATTCACCTTCATCTGGAGCCTGATATTGTACGAGCATGTAGTATTCAGAGTTTGCCACGACCGCATGACCTTCTTTGTCAAGGATTGGTTCACCAACATTTGATAATGCTACTTTTGCGAAGGCACACAATATCAAGAGGCTGATGAGTACAGTTAGACTCATTGGTTTGTGAGAGTATATAAACCTTAAATCTTGTGTTCTATATTGTTATGTTGTGAATTGTGAGGTGAGATGCCTTAATTTATAGACATGCATATGATGTGCTTTAATTGTTAATTAAGGCATTTAAAATGTATGAAACAGATTTCACAACCATTAATGCCTTGTCCCTTTAGAGTGATTGGATGAATGAGCATTTAGATTTGAATTTGTATTTGGGTCAAATTTCCTATCTAGATACATAAAAATTTATGAATTTAAATTTGATTAATATCCAAATTTGTGTTCTATTATAATTTCAAATTCTCTCTCTACCTAGTTATTTGAAATTTTCAATCATTTCAATCCCCTTGTTTTCTTTGCATTTTTACTTTCACTTGGAATTTCAACTCATCTTTCTTCTTTCTTTAAATTTTTTTAGTCTGAACAAAAAAATTTATTCCAATTGCTCATAGATATTCTTGTATTGGAGGTAATGCAATTTCAAAACTCAAAAGATATAAAGTACAAGTCACTTTTGTATCAGTGAGGCGAGAAAACTTAATTTATAGCATGTATATACATTTTGCTTGGCAGCAAGGTATTTATAGCGTATATGTCCGAAATATTATAAGTAGGGTTTCAGAAAACTTAGATTGATGCCAAGAAAAGAAGTAAAAATAATAATAATAATCAAACAAACACCTAAACATGACTTATATTTTTAACAATATTGTGTTTTGTTAAAACGTGTCTCACATTTTTAACTAGAGGGACTATAAAATAGAATCCACAACCATGCAGTTCTCAATTACTCCCTCTTGTCTAAAATTCAAGTCACTTTTATATCATCTAAGATGATAAGTCGTATTCTCTCCTGATTATAGGGTAAAGTTAACTAATTTCACAATTCTTAAGGAATAATGGTAGTTAATGACCATAATAAAATGTGTCTCAGAATTTCAAATTGGTACAATATTAAGAAGCGAAAATATTGGAAAAGATAATTACTCTCTCCGTCCCAAATTATAGGACACTTTTAAAGAAGTTTCTCCATCCCAAAATGTAAGACAATTTGAGTAGATTAAGGTTTCATTAAATACACCATTTTCAATATTACCCTCTCTCTCTATAATTAATTTTCAACCCTTTTCTTTTCAATGTATTAAATGATGGATATTTTTGAAAGTTTATTTTTTGTTTTGAAAAAATAAGATTATTAAGTGTATTTAATGAGATTTATTGGTATGTGAGATTTTATCTAAAAGTGTCTTATAATTTGAGACGAAGGGAGTACTATATATTTAACCTATATTTATGATTTATAGTACGCAGCATATGATCGGCTTTACTGAGACAAGGCATCTAAAACATACAAATTGGAATTCATAACCATTAACGTCTTGACCCCTTTTATTATTCTAAATATAATACCTAATTGTGTCTTAAATGTTTTTCTTCTTTCCAAAATCTACTCTCAATTAAATGTTTTCTAATGGTAAAATCATATACTAAGGGTTTGGAGAAAAATCAATATATAGGGGTATACATGTCAAAATATTTTATACTTCTTTTCATATTATTTATAAGTCACTTTTAGCATGTTTTATTGAAATCAAAAAAATTTTAAAACTCATTAACTCACTTTAAAAGTTAAATAAATTTTTAATTTTGTCTCTATTAAATATACATACTTCCTCTTATCAACATTAAATGGGGAATAAAAGGGGAAATTTTTGTGATAAAAATTCAATGACATGTCTTATAAATAGGACGAAAAATTTCTCTCTTTCTACCTCATAATTAGGATTGGAAGGAGTAAAACATTCAAGAATTTTGAACAAGGTATTATAAAAAGGACAAGAACTTAAACAAAATTGGGTATATATGTAGGGATAGAGAGAGTAATAAAATCCACCTGAATAAAATGAAGCAGGCAAAGGCCAATAGATTGAAGGGAATTAATATAGGCTATGTGAGTAGTAGAAAGAGCATAGCGTTAATTAGTGAATAGCTTCATTGAGGAAGAAACAATGCCAATGGTAGAGAGTGACGGTAGGGTGGTCGTCGAGCTTGGAGCTAGCGCAACCCATTAGTAAGGAAGAAAAAGGAGAAAAAGAAAAGAATAAATGAAAGAGGGGTATGGGAAGAAGGAGAAGAAAAACAAGAAGTATAACCAGGAACATGAAGAAATTAGACTAGTTTTTTAAGGTTTTGTTAGGGGTAAAAAGATAAGGGGAGGTTAAAGGCATAGGAATCCTATGTCAACACATAGTTCCTTTTCATTCTTCTAATAGAACTTCCCTTTTGAATAGCAACTAAAAGAGTTTCATAAGGAGGTATAGGCTAGTTCAGGATAGGAGTTGTAACATCTTGGAAATCAATCCCCTGATAATCAACTTAATTATTAGGAATTAAGTAAGAATTATGTGGTGTGTGGTCAAAGGAGACTAATGAGTGTTTTTAGTGTGGTTTTAACCATAAATTTAGGTTCAAAGCAAAATTAGGTCACTTAAGCATCAAAAGAGATGAAAAACAAAGGAAGAAGGCCTCTGTGCCATATGCTGCAACACGTGCGTGGTGTGCCATGGTACATAGGGCTAGAAGATGAGAAGTAACCTTCTCTGTACCACATGTTGTGATGAGTGGTACATGCGTCACAGTGCATGGTACATTTTCTACAAAAATAGGACACGAAATTGATGCAAAAAACAAAGGAAAAGAAATGAGAAATTTAGAGAAGGAGAAGGAGGAGCCTTAGGATTTTAAACAGCTATTGGCATAGGCTTGGCAGCTTGATGGCGATTCGAACAGCTCCAACGATGCCGATTTCAAATAGATATTAGCACAAGCTTAGTGGCAAATAGCAGGAGATGGCATGAGATCTATGATTTCAGTGATGCTCAGCAGATCGATGACACTTAACAAGAAGCTATACTCTTGCAAATTGTTGATGAATAGCTCAGCAGATCGACGAATGGCTTATCAACATGGCAAGGGGTGGAGTCTTGCAATTTTTGACGATGGCCGTAGAGGAGAAGATGGAAGCCAGGAATGGAGAGTAAGAAAGTTAGAAGGGTTTTGAGGGAGTCGAATGTCGAGCGAAAGAATTCAAATATGTTATATGACTAAAAAAGAAAGACTAGCTAAATTTTAAAAAATTATAAAAAAACCCACCCTTTAGGAGTGCTTACATATTAAGCACTCCTAAAAGGTCCTTCGCTTTTAACTCATCAAAGTGCTTAAAACAAATAAGACTTTAGGAGCACTTTTTTATAAAGTGCTCCTAAAGGGTACACTCTATAACCACTAGTGCAAAAGGAGTTTTTGGCCACAATTAAAAAGCATCTTTTGCAGCAGAAGATAATGTGTGGCAGAAGCAAGTGTGGTAGTAAATGACATTTTTTTGTCACAGTTCTTCGTAGAACTATGGCAAAAAATAGAATTTACAACCACAAGTCTAATCTAGACCTGTGGCCATAAATGGTGAAAAGATGCATCTACGGCCATAGGTTTATCTCGGACCTGTGGCCGTAAATGGTTGGGATCACCATTTATGGCCACAGTTATTAACCATAACTGTGGCCATAAATGGCATTTTTAGCCACACTTATAATAAATAACTGTGGTTGTAAATTCTTTGTTTTTTTTAAAACACTCATAATTATATATATCCCTCACTAATTATAAAACCTACATAAATATATAACAGCAATTCTAAAGATTAGTACAAATACATCCAGTACAAACATATCAACTAAATATAAGCATTTCTAACACAAATATCTAGAAACTATTTACTCTAATCTTGTTAATTCTAGGAAGAAATTAGACTAATTGTTATGTGTATGTCTCATCTCTTACTTAGAATATGTCTCTAAACATATTATCACCTTATCAAAGATGATAACATATTATTAAGAAAATAAAATTAATTTAATATATAAAACTAATATTATAATCTTTATTCTAATTAAGGAATAAATTTGAAATACTTACTTGAATATGCACCCGCTTGATTTTATTTTTCTTCTTGTCAGCTTTATTTGCTAACCTCCAATAACAAAATAAAGATCTATTTATCAAATCACTAGTGCAAAAAGCATTTTTCGTCATAGTTAAAATGTATTTTTAGCAATAGAAGACGCTCTATGGTAGAAAATAGTGTGGTAGTAAATGTACATTTTTTGCAACAAGTATAATGTAACTGTGGCGAAAAATAGCATTTTTCGCCATAGGTAAAGTTGAGACCTGTGGTGGAAAATAGCCTTTTTCGCCACAAGTGTATTTCAGACCTGTGGTGAAAGATATCCCACAAGTGTATTTCAGACCCGCGGCGAAAGATGATATCTTTTGCCACAGGTCCTACTTTCACCTGTGGCGAAAGATATCATCTTTCGCCATAAGTCCTAGAGACACTTGTGGCGAAAGATGGTTTTTTTTACCACAAATCCAACCTTTACCTGTGGCGAGCGATGCATCTTTGGTGACAGTTGTGGTTACAACTGTCGCCATAGATTCATTTTTTATCATAGTTACAATATAACTATGACCGTAAATGTTATTTTTTTTATAGAATCACCTATAATTATATACATCCCTTACTTTTACAAAACCTGTATTAATACATAAATAGCAGCTCTAGAGGCCAATACAAATATATATAGCACAAACATTTCAACTAAAATCTCCATTTTCAATACACATATAAAATGTTTCTACTTTAACCCAGTTAATTTTAAGAAAAAATGAGACCAAAGATTCTGTATATGTCTCAACTCTCACTTAGAATATAGCTCTAAATTTTAGAAGTGCTGCAATTTCAATAACAACATATATAAATAATAACTCAAGTATATGACAAATTTCATAATATAAATCATTATTAGCAAATTATTACTTGATCAAATGAGTGAATAATACCTTGATTGATGATTTCATACATGAAAATCATTACATAATAACCACACTCTACACTTCCTGGTTGTTGAGGACACTATAAAGATAATAAAAATAATGAAATA